CAGACAACCCCGTAACAATATGCGTTTTGTACTGCTGTTACACAGCACAAAACGCATAAAAAACTAACATTTTCTGGGTCTTTGTTCAGGCACAGCTCGACGAACTCCTTGAACTGGCGAGTCCACTGAGATCCATTGAGCTGGGGCGGCGCATTTTTGGGTATCAAAAAGAGCACCCTCATTGGATGCAAATCAGAATGAGGTGGCTCGCCATTCGCCAGCTCAATCGCTGTTATTCCTAAACTCCAAATATCCGCCTGCAAAAATCTTTCTCGAAATCGGCTTTTTTGTTTGAATAATTTATGGTAACTTTCACATCATATCAAAAGCGCATATTCACAACACCCACAGCTAATACTCCTGCGAATAAGTAGCGACTACGAAGAAGCAACAACTTTGACTCGCCTAATTTTATCGATTTTTTCATGAAAAATCGACCGCCAGTACTGCAAGGAATGTGAAGGACAGGTTTCCTAAAATCTTTTCAGGAGATGTAAGTTAAATCGTTACTTTTCTTTCTAAAAAAAAACTTTATGTTAACATTTCTATTTCATTACTTTTATCTTATTATTAATAAATATAACTAACAAAATACATATTTTTTTCGGAAAAACCCAAAAGGAATTCCGATATTCCAGGCTAAATCAACGCTAGGAGATGTGGTGAGCAGAGCTAGAGTGCGCCAGACCTCACATGCCGCAATAGCTTGTTCGCTTACATCAAGAATATCAAAATCTCCCGGTCGATGGACATTAGGATCTCGAGCTGGTAATGTTTCCTGGATGCTTCTACACGCTGAGCGCAGTTCTGCTAAGCGTTGCCAATTCTGAGCTGCATACCTCCCTCTACCAGTTCGATAAATTTGCGATATTTTTAGAGGCAGTCCGTACTTTCTTGCGGATACTAATCAGTAACAGGCAACGGATACCGGCGTAAACAAGGCAAGTGACGTACCTTATCGCCCTTTGGATTTTTACTTATAATAAAAGTTAATCTGGTAAATACCAATTTTGCTGCTTTTATGAACAAATGTTGCATTTTCCTTCCCCCCGAACAGTGTTTTGTTTTGAAACCCAGAGTAATGAAACATAAAATCAAAGGTACGACGAAACAAACATCCGGGGAAATGATGCAAATGTCTTGGTCAGGTCGTTCAGTAAGCAAAAGAGGTAGATTTTCACATTCACAGTTCCCTACACCGACAAGATTTTGACATTCACGCTCTCTTGAAGCGAAAAGAAAATAGAAGGGAAGTTGTAAAACAGCTAATTTTGATAAGCTATTAAACGCCACAGATGCTAAAGCGGTTTGAAGTATTCCTTTGCCCATCTCCCCGTTGGTTTATTTCATCACTTAAGACCAACACATTGTGCCCGTCAGTGCCAGGCAACAGTAGCAGTAGCTGAAAGCATTTTTGACAAAAATTTGAACAATGAACAGAGGACGAGAAAGGTTGGCGAGACGGAAAGCAACGGGCAGAACCTTGGAATCGTAAGAAGCTTGCTTGATCACTTCGGGCGCCATCCAAAACGGCGTCCCAACAAATGTGATCCTTTTCTTTACGGTTTCTGTCAGCTGACCGGCAACACCAAAATCGGCCACTTTCACATCACCCTGCTCCGATAACAGGACATTTGCGGCTGGAAACGAAAGCAAAAGCATTCAGGAAAAGCTTCACAAAGGTAGGAGAAGCAGTAACTGCTGTTTCTGTATTAAAAAATGTGACGACGCTGATCTTCAACAAAGGCAACATCTCTGCAAGAACTGCATTATATGCCGTGCCTGCAGTTAAATAGCAACAAGTGATATTTCGTAACCAGAAGCACTATATAACCTGGGAGTGGTGGAATGAAACAATCAAGAAAGATAAAGTAAGTAATTAAATTTAGATTGTATACTTAGCAAAAACGCATGTTGTATGTCTATTATTTTAACAGTTGAAGAATGGTTCTTTATAAATGTTCAGAATCCCCAAATTTCGTTCGAACAACTATTAACGAGACAATCCGACAAAGCCCGCTGGATTGACCGTACACAAAACAGAAAGAAGATAGACAAAACAAAAGCTATTTAGGAGTAAAAGGATCGTTACTGC